GCAGAGCAAGGCTGATTCCTCTAAAGCTGGACTGCCCTTTTAAGTACCTGAAGACCGTTGGCATGTTCTCTCAAATCTTTCCTGATCTATCGATTGGCCAACAAGCATTTACCATGTGCCACCAATGTGCTAAGCACTGGGTTCTGATCATCCCAGGTTCCTTAATTAGAAACTCCAAGTAGAACCTTCAAATACATCCATATGGGGGTGGGGGGTGAGAGAGAACCACTAATGGGGGAGGCATGAAAGAGACCATAACGAAACTGCCTCCAGGCTGGTACAGTGTCTGCAGCTAAAACTCAGTCTGATCTGCTTTCAAGCTTTGACCAAGCCTAACCATGACATTAGCCTGCCCTCTTGGTAGCTCTCAGGAGATCAGCTAAAAAGATGGTAGAAATTTTAGGCATGTGGGTCCAATATATGGGGGGGAAACTACCATAAATTAGATGTATGCTTGAGTATAGAATGGTTTGGATACACAAGGAAGCACTCTGGACTGGAGTCAGAGGGTCTGGGGCCCAATCTGGGCTTTCTCCTCTGAGCTCAACCACAGTATGGCCCGGTCAATGCAGAATACACAGTAGGCTTTCAGAAATAGACTTTGGCTTGATTGACTAATTGTTACCACAGAGTAAGCCCTACGCAAACACATGGGCTAGTAGGCTATTCAGCGGCTAGTTGTTGCAAGGGGTAAGAGCCAGACTTGGAGTGACCTGAGTTCAAATCCTATCTCAGACACTTAGCTACGTGGACCCTGGGCAAGTCACTTCATCTCTGTTTGCCTCAGTTTCCTCATCTGTAAAATGGGGGTATTAACAGTTACTTCCCCGGATTGTTGTGAGGATCATCAAATGAGTTAATACGTGTAAAGTGTTTTGCAAACTTTATAGTACTATACAAATGCTAGCTATTATTATTGTGATTATTACCTTAAAGTTCATCAAAGTATAATCCAAGGACCCTTAGGGGTCCCTGAGACCCTTTCAAAGGACCCCTGATAGCAAAACTATTTTCATAATAATACTAAGCTGTTATTTATATAATCCTGTATGGCCAATAGGGGTTGGGAAAACAGGATTCTTCTCCTCACCCACAGCCTTTGGGTAAGGTACAGAGGGTCTCACACTCTCCAGGGCTGCTAATTGCCTCTAATGTCTCTGAGCTTAGCTTTTTATTTTTTAATTAATTAATTTGTTTTTAGTTTTCAACATTCACTTTTATAAGATTTTGAGTCCTAAATTTTTCCCCTCCCCCTCTACCCCTCTCCTCAAGATGGCAAATAGTCTGATATAGACTACACGTGTATAATCATATTAAACATATTTCCATATTAGTCATGTTATGAAAGAAGAATCAGAACAAAAAGGGAAAACCATGAGAAAAGAGAGAAGGAGACAGAGAGAGAGAGAAACAAATATGCTTCAATCTCCATTCAGACTCCGTAGTTCTTTTTCTGAATGTGAATAGCATTTTCCATCATGAGTCTTGTAATTATCTTGGATTATTGCATTGCTTGAGAAGAGCTAAGTCTTAACAAAGTCAGGCATTGAACAATGTTGCTGTTATTGTGTGTACAATGTTCTCCTGGTTCTGCTCACTTCATTTAGCATCAGTTCATGCAAGTCTTTCCAGGTTTTTCTGAAATCCACCTGCTCATCATTTCTTATAGCAGAATAGTATTCTATTACATATATATACCATAATTTGTTCAGCCATTCCCTAATTGATGGGCATCCCCTCAATTTCCAATCCTTTTGAGCTTAGCTTTTTAAAGGCCACCAGGAACACGGCCAAACTTTGGCCAGCCAATAGCAAGCTGCCTTCCCAGTTCCATCAGGGAAGCCTCTCCCCTCCCCCACTTCCCACCAGGCTCCAGACCCCTTAGCCAGACCCATGAAGGCTCCTTTGTCAGTGGTATAAGAGCAGAGAGGACAGGGGGTCTCACAGATAAAGACCATGAAGCACCTAGTGTTCATTTCATAATGTGTTCATTTTCATTCTGACTCTTTTAAAGCTAGATTTGCTCAGATTCTGTCTGGAGCACAGAACCCAGACCTGGGCACTATTGACTCTATCTGGAGCACAGAACCCAACTTGAATACTGTAGACTTTATCTAGAGCACCGAACCCAACCTGGACACTGTAGACTCTATCTGGAGCATAGAACCCAGATGTGGGCACCATCGACTTTTTCTGGAGATAGAATCCAGTCCTGGGCACCATCAACTCTATCTGGAGTATAGAACCCAGACCTGGGCACCATAGACTGGAGCACCACACATATAGAAGTATTACATCCACACCTGGGACAGTAGCCTCTGAACATCACATTACCACCATACAAAACTGGATTGAAAGGGAACATGGAATGATGGGTAGGAAACTGGTACCAGAGTTAGGAAGGCCTGGGTTCAAATACCTACCTCAGAACTCACTAGCTAGGTGACCCTGGGCAAGTCCATTTGTGTTCTCTGTGCTGCAGCCCCTCCTTTGTAAGACAAGAGGGATGAGATTGAATGGCCTTGAAGGAGACTTCCAGCTCTCTAAATCTAGGCTCTACAGGTATCACACCCAGCTCTGGATACCACTTTGTAGGAATGAGATTGACAAGTATTCAGAGAAGAACAACTGGGATTGTGAGAGCTTAATTGGATTTAGAGATGGTGGCAACTTTATAGATCATCCTAAACCAAAAATCCTCATTTCACAGAGAAGGAAACTGAGACCCAAAAATAGGAAAGGACCTCATAAGAGAGCCTGTTAGACCCTCTAACTGCAAATACAATCAAAACTTGTTTTTCTTTCTTTTTATTGGGGTGGGGGGTGTGAGACAGCATCACCAAGGCAGATAATTTTATTTTCAAAAACAACTGACATATGTATGTATCTAGATAATAACCCCTGCCTGAAATGTTCTCTTTTTTAATTTTTAAAATTTATTTTTATTACTTTTCCCAGCTAATATTTATTTTCTGTCCCTTCCGCTTCCCTTCACTGAACAAGAAAAAGAAGGAAAGACAGAACCCTCATCATATTTAATGCTTTCTCCACCACATAGCACCACCTCTACTGGAAATTAAATCATAAAATGATTTGTTGAGGGAACCAGAGACTTCTAGCCTGAAGATAAGAAGCTAGTTGGTGCCTGGAATCAGGGAGACCTGAGTTCAAGTCCAACCTCAAACACTTCCTAGCTGTGTGACCCTGGGCAAGTCATTTCACCCTGTTTGCCTCATTTCCCCATCTTTAAAATGAGCTGCAGAAGGAATTGGCAAACCAGTCCAATGCCTTTGCCAAAAAAAAACCCAAATGCGGTCAGGAAGAGTCAGACACAACTGAAACAACAAAGAAATCTGGAGAAGGGAAGATTAGGAGGGGACATGATAACTGCCTTCAAGGATTTGGAGGGCTGTGATGGGAAAGAGAATAAAATTCATTCTGTTTGGCCCCAGAGGAGCAGAAGATAGAAGTTCCAAGATATGTAAGAAAGAACTGTGTAACTAGGAGTGTGGTGGTAAATATTTAACAATCAGATCTCGGGAAGGGATGGAGGGGCATGTATGGCCAACACACTTTAAAGTTTAACCTACACAATGACATTTTCTCCATCATTTTCTTAAGTCTAGACAAACAATAAATCAAGTCCTGATTTGTAGCACTTGCCACACTGAACCTTTAACAATCAGCTTTCCATCACATCCCTGTTTGTATCGGAGCTGTCCCTTGGCCTGTCTTGGGACCATTCACTCCCCATTACTCAGAACGTTCAAGTAAAGCTCACTCCACCTCCTCTTCGAACCTGCCCTAGGGATGTCCACCACAGGCCAGCTCTGGGGTTCTGTGCTTCCAGGACTAGGTAGACTGAGCTCGTATGACAGAGTATGAGTAAAGTTATGAGTTAGAAAGGTTCCCGGTTTGGCTGCCCGAGGAGGCTGAGCGGACAGCCCAGGCGGGATTTATCCGAGACAATTGATAGGTGATGAAGTCAGAAGGGCTGAATCACTTGGATCACTGAGGACGAAGCCATCTTTGAGGAAATTTTCCCAAACCAAATGAGGGACAGGTTCAGAATGGGATCCTCACAACCTGGAGTCGTCACGAGGTTGGGAGAAGCCGAGGATGTTAGAACTGGAGAGGACCTTGGAGGTTAATCCAAAGCCCTTCATTCCACAGGTGGGGAAACTGAGGTCGAGAGAGACCAAGAGAGACCCAAAGCCACACGAACGGTATATATTGGAGGCAGGATTCAAACTCCTGCACAACGGGAAAGTTGCTGGATTTGGGGGGTCAAAACCCTCAGTCTGAGTTCTTAGGCTCAAATCCCAGCTCAGTCTCGGGATTTCCGGGCAGGCCATTTCGCCTCTGGTCATCAGTTTCCTCCTCGGTAAAGGAAGTGGGAAGGACCTCTGACGTCCCTTCGAGCTCTGAATCGAACAGCTAGGGTATGAATACAAGGAGCTACAAACGCCAGTGTGGAAAATGATTGTCCCAGGGAGCTGGAGCCTCAGAGCTCTTTCTGGCTTTCCAGGACACCTGAACCCCATTTCGGCATTTTGTTTTCACCCAGCTTCAACCCCTTGCGGTAAAACTAGGCTCCTTCCTCTGGACCTCAGTTTCCCCATATGGAAAATGAAGCCACGACTGTAAGGCCAGGTTGGAGGGTAATGGAATGTCTGACTGAGGATCAGACTGCAAACCTAATCCTGGGTAAGCCTGGGCGGGACTCGTTTAAACCCTAGCCCTCAGCAACTCAGCCCTCCCCGTCCCACCCGAAGGAATGGGCACGTGCGTGAATCCGGGAGGGCCGGGCTCGATGGTGGGCGGAGCTTCAGCAGAGGGGCAGGATGTTTGGGGGTGTCCGGTGGCCTCTCAGAGGGTCCGGGGGATTTGGGCGGGGCATTGGCAGAGGGGTGGGCCCTAAGGGTGGGTGGGCGTGGCATTCTAGGAGGGGAGGGGAGCTGAGAGTAGGGACAGAGCGGCCATAAAGGCGGTCCCGGATCCCCGGCCGGAGGTTCCTGGCCATTGCTGTGGCGGCCGGGTCCTCGAGTGGTGGGGGGCCATGGCCACGGTCACGATCACTGCCACTGGGGCGCGGGGCGACTGCAGCCACGGGGTCCTCACTCTGCTCTTCCTCCTGCTGCAGGTGAGCGGTCGAGCTGGGATTCGGGTACACCTCTTTGTTCCAGGGGAGACACGCGGAGCTGGGGGAGGGATGGTTCCTATGCGTGTAACTGCCCGCCCCCTTCTTCCCCAGCCCCGGAGGTCGCTCCGGAGTCTTTGTTATAACTCTTACTCCTCCAATCTGGGAGGCGGGACGGGGGCCACTGATGAGGAAGGCCGCCACTGTCCCCTCAGCTCCTCCTCCCTTCTCCCCCCCCCCTTGCAGGTGGCACTGGACAGAGCAGATGGCAGCTGTGACCTCGCTGACCAGTAAGTCTGGAGGACGGCCCGGCGGGAGGGGGAGCGTCTCCCTACACCGCCCCCTCCCCATCCACTGAACTGGACTGGGCTGTCCGCTCCGCTTCTCAGCACACACACACCCCTTTCTGGACTCAGGGTTGGAAAAGCCCTCCGGGATTGCCCCCCACTTCACCCCACCCCACGGTAGCATGCAGGTCCACCAAACTCCACAGCTGTTATCCCTACAGGAGCACCTAAAAATAAACAGTCTGAAAGCAGTGGCCCCCTCCCAGGTCCCTTCCCTGCTTTCACACACACACACACACACACACACACACACACACGCACGCACACACAAGCACACACACACACACACACACAGCTCCCTACCCCATCGCTGAACTGAAACCAAGAGGGCTTCAGTGCCCCACCCCCCTTCCCCACTAAAGCCTTCCCTCTGGACTGAGAAAGAGGAAACGGCTTTGGCTGGATGTCCGTTTATTTAGGGGAGGGGGTTACTGGACTACGATCTCCTGTTGGGAGAGGCTGTGATATGTGGGCCCCTGGGGGAGGGGGTGCAAGGGAATCAAGGAGTGACCGAAGTGAAAGGGAGGAGGTCTAGTGAAAGGAAGCGGCTGCCCTATCTGGGCATGAGAGGCCGCTCTAGAAGGTCCTGGAAATCCCCTCCCGAATACATCAGTTGTATGGAAACCCAACCCAAGCCAGCGGCCCAGCCAGCTTCTCCTCTTTTGAAGGGACTTGCCCCAGCTCGTAAGGGCCCTGGCTTCTCCTTCCAGGGCCTAGGGTGGGGTCCTAGAAGGCTTCCCAACCTCTCTCCCCACTCTAGGCTGGGACTCTAATTCCAATTTCAGGTGAATCCCCCTTCTCTCTGCCCTTCCAGGTGCCCATCTAGTGCCAGCTGGACCAGCCTGTGGTATGTCTGGTAAGTGCAGAGCTGGGCAAGGAGCCCTCCATAGAGGCAGAAGGACCAGCCTAAGCCCCGAGCTCCCCTGGCCGGTTGGACTGGTTTGCCCAGGGAGGGACACTTCTGCTGGCCTGGCCCAGCCCAACAGAGGGGATCTACCTGGAAACTTTGAGCTTCCTGAAATAGAGCTAAATGGGGAGGCCTCACCCTGATGCAGCCCCCAAGGGGCAGGGAGTTGATTCAACCCATCCCAAGGCAACTATCTACTAAGCATCAGCTGAGAACCCAGAAGAAAGCCTCTGCTAGCTAGCTGAAGATAGACAGAGATGCCTATCTCCTCATCTGGGGACTTATATCCCAGCCCCAGGTTGTGTATAACTCATCCGCATCCAGATGCTTCAAGCTAGCAGCTAGCAGTTTTGTGAGTGGTAGGCACCCAGCTGGTGCTGGGGTATGCACCAAATATGAGTTTAAAATTCAATTCACTTGCAAGTCACAGCATCGTGATCTTCCTGATGTCATGGTTCTCTTTGAGAACGAAGACCAACAACAACAGAAGTTTAGAATCCATCATCTTGAACAATCCTGTGGGGCAGGCGGGGTTGGCCCCATTTTACAGATGTGAAAACTGAGGCTCAAAGAAGGGAATTCTTTTACCCAGTGTCACACACCCTAGAAAACAATAGAACCAGATTTTAATCCCAGGTCCTCTGACTAAATTCAGGGTCCTTTCCATTACATTTAGACATCATGGACCCTAACTTTCTCATTTTACAGATGAGAAAGTTCACACAGATTTTGGAGACAGCTAAGTTGGGACTAGAACCCATGTCTTCTAACTTTTTTTTCTTTTTAATTCAATGTTATTTCTACCTTAACGAGTGTCAGGCAGGGGTGGCATTGCTCAGAGACTGAACTATGTTGCTGAAGACCTAGCCAACCTCTCTGATTTCCTCTCCACCCCTGCCCTGGGGGTTTTATATTCCTTGCTAAGAAGTGGAGAGAGAGAGGGGAAGAGGTTCCTGGGGAGGCTAGAGTTGGGCTCCTCCCACCCAAGGAAGCCAGCACCAGATCAGATTAGAAGGGGCCAGGTCTCCATAAATACTCTGAGACACTGGGAGCCCAGCGCTGGCAGGATCGTCAGGCATTCAGGGCACAGAGCTGATGCCTGGCTTCTCCTAGGCTAACCTCTCCATTGCCATCTCCCCCAAACCTGCCAATAGTGGACCTTAGCTGGCAACTCTGAAGAGATGTCCCAGAACAGTCCTCCATGGCCCATGAGGGTTTGCTCACATTCATTCCCAGGGAGAAAAAAGCCCTAGGGAGGTCTCTTTAAAAAAAGAAATAGCTGCAGGGACACAGTGGGACAAGTTTTCTGTTCCAGAGTGGTCTCTTCTTTCTCCAGCTACAGGTAAAGAGGATCGTGTCCCAGAGCATCTCCTTCCCCTGGTACCAGTCAACGGTGTCCAAATAACTGCTAAACTCTAAAGTCCTCTGCTCCTCCTGGCCCTTCTTCTCCCTTTCACCTCCTTTCTATATCTGCCCCCTGACACTAGGTCACCAAACTCTGCATCTCCCTTAGGGCATGGCAGGCAGCCTGTGCCCAGCCATGCCTGTCAATTTCGCAATTGATTCCAGGGCACGTCTCGTTCCTGAAGGGATCCTGTGAGCAAGGCTTGAGGTCATAAATGAAGCCTGGAGACAGCTGTCTCTCCCCATCCCTCCTAGGAAAAGTCAACTCCTTTCAAGCCAGGGCAAAGACCCTTTGGCAGCAGTTCATGTTTATAGAGCACTTTGTCCTCAGGATACCCCCTGCAAAGTCAGTTATGTATTATTCTGGTTTTAGAGGTGGGGAAACTGAGGCTTAACAGAGTTTCTCATCCAGATGACCTGTATTCAAATCCTGCCCCTGTTAGTTCCTGTATGATCTTTAACTAGTCACTTAACCTGATTTTTTTTTTAATTATTTTGGAGGCAATGGGGGTTAAGTGACTTGCCCAGTGGGGTCACACAGCTAGTGAGTGTTATGTGCCTGAGGCCACATTTAAACTCAGGTCCTCCTGACTCCAGGGTCAATGCTCTATCCACTGTGCCACCTAACTGCCCCCATTTAACCTATTTTTAAAAATTAAATTTTAAACTTCAGTTCCAAATTTTCTCCCTCTCTTCGCTCTCTCCTCTGCCCATTGAGAAAGCAAGAAATACGATCCCCATTATCTACATGAAGTCTCACGAAACATTTAAGTCACTTAATGGCGAAGGGGATAGAGTGCTATGCTTGGAATCGGGAAGACCCAAATTCAAGTCCCATCTCAAATACTAACGATGGGACCCTGGGTAATCACCTAACCCCTTTCAGCCTCAAATGAGGGGGTCAATGACCTCCAAGGGTCCTTCCAGCTCTAAATCTCTGAGCCTGAGGAACCAAGGGGGAGTTTGGACCCAGGTCTTTCTACCTCCCAGTCTGAGCTCTTTAGCTATACCAGGCTAGATTTGAAGAAGGGCCCAGCCAAACTTGTCCTAGCAGCAATAACTGAAACAGGGTGTGGGTGTAATCTTATCAATGACGAGAGCCTTTGAAGGATACTGAAAGGAGTAAGACTATTTCCCATTTGGCTATGAAGGATAAGCAGATTCCAGGCAGTTTGGTCATCATCTCAGTTACTGGGACAAAGACACCACCTGAAAGTGCCTTCCAGTGGCTGGGAGAATCACGAGATAATTAATGAAAATGAGCTTCATACACCTTAAAGACCTTTTTAAATGTTAGACACTGTGCAGCCCCGTGCACTAAGTATGAGAAGGCAATATCATTTGAATGTTCTCTAAATTAAAACATGGCGTTTTAGGTACCGGATAAAGGGAACAGGACTCCCTTTGGACCCCATCAAAAAAGGAAGGGCCCAGACATTCACACCCAGGTCTTCTGCGTCTTCAGGGGCTGTTTGTGTGATCAGTCCTTGAAGTTTGAAGAAATAACTGCAGGATGGCAAAATAAGAGCCAGAAGAAGCCTCAGAAGCCACCCTCTCATTTGACGGATGAGGAAACCGAGGCCCTGGAGGGTGAGACCCTTTCAAGGTGCCCTAGGGAGTTAGATCTGGCAACCCAGAGCTAATCCTCTTACTCTCAGGCTGCTAGGTGGGGCAGTGGATTCAGCTCTGGGCTTGAAGTTAGGAAGGTTTGAGTTCAAATCCAGCCTCAGAGACTTACTAGCTGTTCGACCCTGGGCAAGTCATTTAACCTCTGTTTGCCTCATCTGTTAAACGGGGATAATAACAGCCTCCACCTCTCAGGGTTATTGCGAGGAAGAAATGAGACAATATCTGTAAAGCGCTTAGCACGGTCCCCGATTGTTTCCTCCTTCACCGCTGCGTTCTGATGCCTCTGGTAAGGCTGGAAGAAATTCAGGGAGCTGGAGAAGCTATAGCAATAGCAATCTAGCTAAAGCCGAGGAACCATTACCCTTGGTCCCGACACTTTCCCAGCCCCACCCTCTTGTCTCCCCCCAATTCACAGGCTAATCCTGTTGACGGTGTTCACGCTGCTTCTCTGCGGCATCCTGGCCAGCTGCATCAAGTTCTGCTGCCAGAGGAAGCGGCTGCCCGCGCAGACAACGTTCCCCCTCCCCAGGCGGCCCTACGACCTGACGGTCATCACTGTGGACAATGACAGCACCATCCACAGCACGGTCACATGTGAGTGCCAGCGGATGCCGGCGGGAGGGGCAAGGCCAGAGGCACTGGGGGGGGGGGGGGATCGCAGGGTCATGGGATGAAGGTCGAACGTCCAAACTTGGATTCCGTCGAAGGGCCGCACTTGAGGACTTAGAGGATCTCGAGGCCGCAGGTTCCCCACTCCTGCACACCGATCAAAGAGTCCCCTATTTTTTGAAGCTGTTTCTGTTTCCAGCCTGGTCCCCCGCTGGAGACACAGATCTTCCTTCCCGTGAGCAAGGCTGGACTTCCTTTCATTTAATCTTTAAGTTCGGAGAGACAGCTTGGCTATGTAGATGGAAATCTGGAGTTGGATCCAGAAGACCTGAATTCAAATCCCACCTCAGACTCTTAACTAGTCACCCTGATCGCTTCCATTTCTCTGGGTCTCAGTTTCCTTATCTCTAGAGTGAGAGAGTTGGATTAGGTTATTTGCAAGGCCCTTCTAGCGTTTAATCCTACAGTGCCAGAAGGGAAGCCTCTTTTTTTCCACTCCAGTGGGAGCCTCTAGATCTGGATTCCCAGCATTGGGGGGAGGGGGTGGCCAGCTCTCTCTCTGGTTCTTTTCTGGCCTTAAATCCTTAATGTCAAAGAGATCAAGAGATAACAAGCCCCATTGTTCTTCCTGGATAATAATTAGTGAGAATTACAATGCCCATTTTTCTCATTTTCCAAAACTCTCTCCTGGCTGATGAAAGAGGTACCACAGACTTTTACGAAGAGCCTGCTATGTGCTAAGCTAGGGCAGCTAGGTGGCACTATAATGCCTAGAGTGCCAGGCCTGAGTTCAAATCCCACCTCAGACACTTATGAGCTGTGTGACCCCGGACTAGTGACTTAAACCTGTTTGCCTCAGTTTCCTCATCTGTAAAATGAGCTGGAGAAGGAAAGGGCGAACCACTAAGAAAACCCCAAATGGGGTTACGAAGAGTTGGACATGACTAAGCAACAACAAATGTACTAAGCCAGTTGCTGGGGAGAAGATTCTATATAAAGTCACTACCCCCGGGGAGCTTATGACAGTCCTCTAAGGACAGGAACTGGAGTTACATTTGTAGAGGCAAACTCCCCCTTACCAACACAGGGTAGCCTCCGGAATATAATTTAGAATCCTGGAGATACTGAAAAGTGACCTGTCTGCTGTCACAGGACTTCCTGACCCCAAGCCTAGCCTCTAACCATGAAACTAGGATGCCTTATGTAGTCCTCTAAGGGAATAAATAATAATAATAAGCAACTGTTGTTTTTAAAGTTTTCAAAACTTTACATATATAACCTCATTTGAGCCTTAAAACCACCCTGCAAGGAAGGTACAGATAGATACCCATTTTACAGACAAAGAAACTGAGGCAAAGAGGTTAAGTGAATTGCCTGTGACTACAAAGCTAGGAAGTATTAGAAGTGAGATTCAAATTCAGGTCTTCCTGACACCAAGTCAGCGAGGTGGCTCAGTAGATAGAGCCAGGGACTGGAGTCAGGCTGACCTAGCTGTGTGACCCTGGTCAAGTCACTTCACCTCTGTTTGCCTCAGTTTCCTCATCTGTAAAATGGGGCTAATAATAGCACCTACCTGTGAGGACCAAGTGAGTTAAAACTTATAAAGTGCTTTGCAGACCTTAAGTTGCTTTTAAATGTTCATTATTAATGGAAAGAGCGCTTTATTTGGAGTCAGAGAACCTGGGTTCAAATCCTAACACTACCCCTCACTACCTGTGTGACCTTAGGAAAGTCCCTTCATATGACCCCATTCCCCTAGCTGACCTCCAGGGTCTCTCCCAACTCTAATTATGTGTTATTTACTATATCGCATTGTCTTTTTAGGGATGAGATCTTAGACTACATCTAGTCTAATATTCTTCTCCTTTAGAGGCAGCTAAGTGATCTGAGAGAGAGCCCTGGACCTGCAGTCAGGAAGACCTGAGTTCAAATCCAGCCTCAGACACATACTAGTTTGTGACCCTGGGCAAGTCACTTTACCCCGTATGCCTCGGCTGCCTCATCTGTCAAATGGGAATAATAGCACCTAGCTCCTAGGGATGTTGAGGATCAAATGAAATAATTTTTGGAAAGTGCTTCACAAATCTTTTTTTTGTTTGGTTTTTTTGTTTTTTGTTTTTTTGTGGTTTGGGTTTTTTCTGGCTAGGCAATGGGGTTAAGTGACTTGCCCAGTGTCACACAGCTAGTGGGTGTTATGTATCTGAGACCATATTTGAACTCAGGTCCTGACTTCATGGCCGGTGCTCTATTCACTGCGCCACCTAGCTGCCCCTGCTTCGCAAATCTTGAGGCTCTGTCTACATGCTGACTATTACTATTATTAATTATTATTATTATTATTATTTCTCAGAAGGGGAAAACTATGGGATTTAGACTCTCTTCTGTAAAGTGCCTAAATAATCTTTGAGATTGTTCTAGCTTTAATCTTATGACCCTATGATTATATAATGGGTTAGAGGCAGCTGAGGCATATGACCCGAAGCTGGCAAGACTTGAGTTCAAATTCTACCTCGGACACTTACTAACTGTGTGATTATGTCAAATGGTCATAGGTTTAACACTGGAAGAGATCTCAGAGCTCATCTAGCCCACTTCCAACCCCCATTTGACAACTGAGGAAACTGAGGCTGAGAAAAGGCAACTGATTTACCCAAGGTCCTCAGTGTCTGAGCTGGGATTGTGTGACTTGCCCAATGTCTCAGGACTGAACAAACATTTATTAAGCTTTCACTGTGTTCGGAACCCTGAGCTGGGCAATAGAAGAGATGGAAAATTTAGTCAAGGCTCCCTTCATTGCCCCCGCCCCTCACCATGGACCTTGGATTCTAATCTAGGAGGGGGATAAGGCTAGCTAGCTTGTGGTCTAGTCAGCTATAATGGGATGTGGCAAGTGCAAATGGGGGGGGGGCTGAAATGCTCAGTGGGGGTCAAAAGAGAAAGTTCTTACAGTTTCTGAGGAGCCAGGTATCAGGCAAGGCCTCATGGTGGAGGTGTCCTTGGAATTGGGCTCTTCTTCCCTCTTACAATACCTAGTTTCCTTGCACATGGCCTATGCTGATTCCCCCACCCCTGCCCTGAAATTAGAGTCATAATGTGTTTTAGCACTGGAAGGGATCCCCTCATTGCCCAGAGAAGTTGAATCCCGCAGATATTAAGTAGCCAAGCAGGACTTCAAAGCCAGTGCTTTTTTCCCCACGGCACCACACTACCTTTCAAATTACTCCAACTATTTTTCAATTTTTCTTTTTTGCTTTGACCTATAATTTCCTCAATGTAAGGAACTCCTGGTGAGGAACTGCCTTCAGCTATATTTAGTCTTTTGGGGGGACACCGAAAAACACAGTGACTTGTCCAGGGTCATGCCACCAGTGTGTGTCAGAGACTGGGCTTGAACAAGGCTCTGATTGGCTCCAAGGCCTGCTCTCTACCCACCACATCACTGGCACTTTTATGTGTTGTCTTGTCACATTAGAGTGAAAACTTCTTGAGGGCAGGGGCTGTCTTTCTTTTGGCTTCTATTTTTATCCCTAGCACTTAGCCCAGTGACTGACAGTTATGTTCAATAAAGGCTTGTTGCCTTGTTGACATAGTGGGTATATAATAAATGTTTAAATAAAGAAACAGACATTTATGGAGCACATACTATGTACATGGCACCCTACTATGTACTGGGAATACAAAGACCCAAAATGAGAAGGGCTTGCCTTTGAGAATCTTGTATTCTACTGGTTTTAAGTGGTGGGTAGGAATTCAGCAGGCAACAAAAGGTAGGAAACATTCTGGACATAGAGAACAGCTGGTGGACAAAGGCATGGTGGCAGGAGATCACAGGCCTTATTCAAGGCGGGGAGAGTCTGGCCCTGTACAGTTTGGCTGGAGTGTGGAGTTGATGGAGGGTATGAAGTAACATGAGAAGTCTGGAAACATTGCCATGTCAGGACAGGAAGGGGAGAAGGGCCTTGAATTTCAGGTTTCTAGATTAGTTAGATGTTGACTTGGCTGGCAGCAGAGAGCCATGGAAGATTAGAGAATTGCAAGTCTTTTTCCCATTTCACCGAAGAAGAAAACAAGGTCTACTACCCAGAGACATGGAATGACTTGCCTAAAGTTCAAACAGATAGCAAGATTCTGACCCGGGATTTAAAATCATCACTCTTGCTTCTGTATCAGGTTGCCAACCCTGTTCCTCATCCCTGACCCCGAGAGGACGGCAGGACTGGCTTAAAGCAAATCTTGAGGTGCTAGAGGTCATTAGTCCAACATTCCCATTTTACAGATGAGGAACTTTGAGACCCAAGGAGTTTAAGTGATTTCTCCGAGGTGAGAGGTCACAGGTAATGAAGTACTGAAAGTAAGATTTGAGCCCAGATTCTCTGACTCCAAGTTCTTAGCCTTTTCTCCTATTGGGTAGCCAGAGTGAAATGGGACAACCCAAAGAAGATTTCCTGGGTGAGGTGAGCTTCGAGCCAGGCCGGCAGAGGTCTCTGGGCTGGGGAAGGTTATGCTGGTTGAAGTCTGTTCAGACACCATTGTCAGAGTCTCGTTTGTGCCCCATCCTGACCCCCCACCCCAGGATGTCTCTAACTTCTTTTGCTTTTTTTTTCTCCAGCTTACAGCTCTGTGCAGTACCCCCTGGGCCCACCCCTGCCACTTGCGTTTCGGGAGATGGAGCCAGGCACGGTGTCCCCTCCGGCCTACAGCCTCTATGCCTTGGAGCTGCCCCCATCCTATGAAGAAGCCATTAAGATGGCCAAGCCAGGCTTGGAAGGGGCTCCGCCCTCCCAGAAGGCCAGCTTGAGCCCAGAACAGCCTGAGCCCTGTGGCGACGTCCAGCCCAGGCAAGAGCCAGGGCCAAACCCAACTCCCTCCCCAGACCTTGCAGAGCCCCAGCCATAGCCAGAGGGCAAGAGGGGCTTTGGAAAGAGCGGCCCCAGGAGCCTTGAGGAGCAGCCGAGATAGGGGGTTGGTGGATGCCGTCCTTGATGTCCCCACCTCTGGCTTGGGGCCAGCTCGGCGAGCTTCACTCAGAAGGGGATCTGGTGACACCCATGGAGCAGGCCGGTAAAAATAGCAGATGGCCCTGACCAGCCCAAGCCTCCCTCCCCAGGGCGAGGAACAAAATGTCCTGGGCTCCACTCACCTGACGTCATTGGGAAGGAAGAGGGCACTCGGGCCCCCCACCTGGGAGCTGTTAGTTCTGGCCAGGTCAAGCCAGGCCAAAGAGGGGGAGGAGGGCCTGTCCGCCTGCATCCTCACTCTCGGTAAGAGTCATCTAGGAACCGTGTGGCTGTAACCACTGGCCATGTGATGGTCAATCTGCAGAGACTGGGAAGGTGAAGATCGCCCCAAGGGGAAGGGCCCAAGCCCTCTCCAGGGGCTCGAGGACTCTCTGGACATCAGCAGAGACTTCCCTGGCTAGAATGGAAAGGGGCAGCCTCCACCCCCTCCCAGGCTGGCCAGATGTGTGTGTGATGGGGTGGGGGGAATGTGGAGTCTGGGTCCTATCCCCTCTTCACGGGATTTCAGAGCCAGAAGGGACCTTCAGACACCATTTACTCTGACCCAGGCCTAAACAAGACTTTCCCCTACAATGGACCCAACAGATGGTCATCTGGCCTTCAGTGAGAGCATGGGGAGAACTCATTCCCTCCGCAAATCACCCATTAAGTGACAGGAAGATTTTCTTTGCATTAAGACTAAATGTTGTCTTTTTGTAACTTCTCCCCATGGATCTGTAGGCCAAACATTGGCAAATGTAATCACCTTTCCATGTGATAGAGATTCAGGTACTTGGGAAGTTCCCATGGCCTCCCCTCCCCATGCCAGAGTGCCCTTCTCCAGGCTAAAAGACTCCTTTTTCTTTGATAGCCATCCTCACGTGGAATGGACTCGGGACCCTTCACCATTCTGACCGCCATCCTCTGGGCCCTTCCTTGGTCGTCTGGGCCTGATGCTGTCCAGCACAGAGGTGGAGGTGGGGCTGCAGGGAGGTCCCTGAGGGTGGGGAGTGGGAGGAAGGAGCTCTTTATGTCTCCTGGTTGAATTAACTGCTCCATTTTAGTCTGCTTTGATTTCTGTGACTTTTTTCTTCGGGGAAAAAATAAAGTTTTGAGGATTTTTTCCTGTGCTGATTGAGTCTAGAGTAAGTGGTGGTGGACCTCGGCCTAGCCTGGGGAAGGACAGCAAATGTGTTGGGGCAACGAGCGAGCATTCTCTGTCTTGTCCTTTCTTCTCCCAGTGAGACAGATAAATGGACAGAGCATTTATTAAGCACTGACTGTATGCCAGGTACTATCTCATTTGAGCTCTCAACCAGTAGCTCAAGTGCATCTAGATGGTAAATGACAAAGGTAGGATTTGAACCCAGGGCTCTTATCCCTCTCCCAGATATGAATCTGGAACCCTGACCTTCTGATCTGTGACTGTGCAATGGGAGAGAGGGAGGGTGGCATACCAGAAGGGCCTTTGACATGGTGCAGGGGGCCTGGAGTCAGGAAGACCTGAGTTCACATGCAGCCTCCGACATTCATGAGCTGTATGACCCTGCGCAAGTCACTTAACCTCTCTTTGCCTCCGTTTCTTCATCTGTAAAATGAGGATCATAATAGCACCTGTCTCCCAGGGTTGTTGTGAGGTTCAAATGAGATAATATTTGTAAAGCACTTAGCACAGTGCCTGGCCCGTAGTAGGCGCTATATGTCAGCTATTATAATTATTATTATCAGTCCTGCCTTTGATACTGATGGACATGCTGTGTGGCCAGAGCCAAAGGCATCTGCCTTTCTAGCAGCTCCCCAGAAGGGTTCCCTTCTTGCCCCTGGAGGGGGCATCTGCAGTTGAACACCCAGCTCTATCCTTCCTGCCAGGGGGAATGGTAAGTCATTTCGCCTCAGCCATTTACCGTGCGTGGTAAACCAACCACTCCCCGGGTTGGACCAGGCAGCCCTTTTCCACTCTAAATGTATGTGCTTGCACCTCCTCCAAACTCCCCACTATATGGATGAGCAAAGCGAGGTGTCTAGGGGGTAGTATGACCTACTCCAGGTCACCGAGGAAACTGCGGAGCTGAAATGTGAAGATTACTGGAAGTGCCCACCCTGTACCTGACTAGAACCCTCTACAGCCTGACCCAACAACTGGTCATACAGCCTGACCCAACAACTGGTCATTCAGCCTGACCCAACAACTGATCATTCAGCCTGACCCAACAACTGGTCATACAGCCTGACCCAACAACTGGTCATTCAGCCTGACCCAACAACTGATCATTCAGCCCTTGCCTGAAGGCCTTCAGGGAAGAGGGAGTTCTTCCTATCAAGCCTAAATCTGCCTCGGCAACTTCCAGCCGTGGTTCAATAACCCCTTCATTTTCCAGAGGAGGTGCGGGAGCTCAGGCCCTTGGACTCCAGTGGCCAGGGTGCTCTGCTGCCTTGGAGCTAGTAACCAGAGGGCTCTCCCCTTGGCTGTGGCTTCCCTTCCCACCCCTGAATGCTGGGCCCAGATTTTTTGTTTTGTTCCTCGTCCCTCCCCATTGGGGGAGGCAGGAAGAGGGGGAGGAGAAGGCCTTGGGGGGGCGGGGTAGTGGCAAGACTTCAAAGCTGATGGAATCCTGAAATGGTGGTGGGGTTAGAATGGGGGCAGGGAGCAGTTGCACCAGCACCTGTGACACCCACTGGAGCTTCTGCCTGGTTCCCCCAGAACTGAGCCTACAGAGAAGCCGTTAACAGATTGGGGGGAGGGGGGCAGTAGTCATATCTGAGGAAGGAACGTGGTGCAGCAGGGTATTTCTGAGGCTCAAAAGGAAGTCTTTATAAAGAAAATTTATTAAACAGGGGCTTGCAGGGGAGGGGTACTGCGTTGCCTAATCAGGACCTGGGCCGTCCATCCATCGCTACTGGACGAGCTTAAAAGATTCTCCAGTCATCATGGCCACAAACTCTGAGGGCATGAATGTGGGAGTCAGAGATCATTCCCACCCCCAGAAGAGGCAACAGTCCTCTGAACCCCAACTCCTCCCCACTCATTCCCAGTGGTAACATTGTGAGGGGGGCCAGGCAGGCAGCTGCCCAGACCTGGCTAATCTGCGAGCATGAAGAGCTGAGTGTTTTCCTTACCTAGAGTAGCAAAGAAAGCCCACCCACAATAACTGAATGACCAAGGGGCAGTGGACTGCCCCCCTTCAGAGGTGTATTTTATTTGGGTCTGAGATCTAACTGGGAAATCCCCCCAATCCCCTTCAATGCACCCCAAGAACAGCCCTGAAAGGTAGCTGCTGTCTCAGTCCTCTCCACCCCAATGCCAACGAGGGAGAGGAGAGAGGAGAGAGGAGCAGAGCCAGCCAAGCCTGGAACTCGGCTTCCCCGTCCCAAAACTTCCCTCCATATTCCACCACTGAGGAAGCCAGGAGGAAAGACTGTCTCTCGGGCCAGGCCTCCCAGAGATGCAGGGACAGAGAGGAGGGGGAAAGAGAAGGACCAGGACAAAGGGACAGAGGCAGAGGACAGAAGGACAAGGAGAGAAGGGAGGGGACAGGCAGAGATAGAGAGGAGAGAGGGACAAGGAAAGGAGGGAGGGGCGAGCAGAGACAGAAAGGAAAGAGATGGGGATAGAGAGCAGAGAGAGACTGTGGACAAGGACAGAGGCTGACGGGCACGAGAAGAGATGGGGAGCAGAGGCAGAGACAGCAGCGTCTGGGACAAGCAGAGAGACAAAGGCAGAGACACACGGGGTACAGAAAAAATAGACAAAGGACAAAGACAGAGGCAGACAGGGAGGGACCAGGAGAGATGGGGGCAAAGGCAAGAGAGTCCCAGACAAGGAGGGAAACAGGGGGAAGGGGGAAGGAGAGTGCTAAGGGGGCCGAGTCAGAAAACAGAACCAGGGGTGGAGAGACAGAGACAAAGAAGGAGGTCCAGACAGAGATGGGTAGATGAGAAGGGAAGGGAAGGTACAATTAGGAAGAGAACGGGGCTGAGCTGTCCTTCCCCAGCCGAGGCTGCTGCGCTGGGGCAGAGAGGCAGACCCGCAAAGGAAAGGAGGCTGCAGCATCCCAGCCTGCCCACCTGCTCCCACTCCCAGGAGCCTGCCCCCCTCGTACCCCGGGGCCTGGCCCTTCCTGAGTCTCTATTGCCCCCTGCTGCTAGGCTAGCGAAGGGCAGCCTCACTGCCCCTGCCCAAGCTACAGGGTGAGAGGTGGTGGGACTGCTCTGAGCACTTGGTTGGGGAGGGGCAGGAGGCGGATCTAGGGTCCCCTTGGGTTGGGAGATTCTGACCAATGGGCCTTTGGGCGGCGGGGCCGAGGAGGGGGCGGGGCTGGGTCCTAATCTCGGGTCCTGGGGACAGTGGGGGTGGGGCGTATCCTTACCTTCATAATCAATGGTTCCATCACCATCTTTGTCAGCCTCTTTCATCATCTGCTCAGCTTCCACCTCATTAAGAGGTTCCCCAGCATTCATGAGCACGTACCTAGCACAGAGAATCCCCCAAGCCCCACAAAACTGAACCAGGCTTCCTCCAGGAAGGCTTCCTTGCTGTCCTCCCCTCCTCCTCTGCTGCTCTCCCAGTGGCCAAACAGGGCTGACCTTTATTACTGCCCCCAGTTCAGCCTTCAGACTTGGGGTTTCCCAAGAGTAAAGACTGACTTAGACTGCACTCCACCCTCCAGAGTAATGTTTGTGGGCTCCCTGAAGACCAGTGCGTGTCTCCCTGTCAGCACAGGGTGGGGGTTCCCCATTTAATTTCCTCCTCCCAGACCTTCGTCCCCAGTACTAGTGAGACTGAGCTCACAATATTCTGCTGCCCCCTGTGCCCCATTCCCATGCAGGATCTCCCCTTCCCCCCCCACCCACACAGAGGTGTCTCACTTGAGAGTGTCCCAGTCTATGTAACCTTTGGCCTCCTTGTCAAAGACCTTGAACGCTGCCCTCAGCTCAACATCCTGGTTTTTGGCTTTCTCATGATAAATGCCCATCAGTGACAAAAAGCTGTCACAGTTAAAGGTGCCTTTGTCTGAAAGGAAAAATCAGTTTCCCAGATGTGGATAGGAGGCAGCTTCAGGGGTCTGTGCCCCATGAAGTGGCCCCAGAGCTCCCGTCTCTCTGAGGACAAGGACTGCCTCCCTCCCTCTCCCCAAGACTATGGATTCCCTGCGGGTGAGGATTGTGTCTCCCTCCTCAGATAAGGGACTCACTGAGGACAGGGGCTGTCTCCTCCCTGCCCAGACCACAGACTCCCTGAGGGTAGGAGCTGTGTGTCCCCTGCCTCCCCCCCACTGGGAACTCCCTGAGTGCAAGGTCTGTCTCCTCCTTTCAGAATGGGTGCTATCTTCCCCCCCTCAGACTGGTCAGTGAATGGGATAGGAGGGAGAGGGCCAGTGGGTATCCAGCCCAGTGTCCTCACTGTCTTTGTCCACTTCCTTGGCCATTGTCCCCAGTTCGCTCTTAGTGGGGTTGATGCCCAGTAGGCTCATTAGCCGTTCCAGCTCAGTTGTCTTCACCAATCCATTGCCCTCCTCATCAAACATCTCGAAGATGCCTTTGTATTCCTTGATCTGATCGGCTGACAGTCGGTCGGTCTACAGAACACCAGACACACAATCATGTCCACAGTCATAGAATCCATTTCTCCACCTTTGAGGCTTCTTTAGCCCAGGGTCAGGGTCAAGGTCAAGAGCTACGGTTCCAGCCTCCTATCTGGGGCTGGGGATTTCCCTGGGCACCATCTCAAGGGTTCATGATCCTCCCTGTTGGGAAATGCTGCCTCCCATCTAAATTCAATTAAACAAGAAGTGTTTTTTAAGCTCCTACTATATGCCAGTCACTGTGCTAGGTACAAAGATCCTCAAGGAGGGTCCTACATTCCAGTTTCCTCTATCTCTACCACTACAGCTTCATTCTATTTGTCCTGCCCTATGGTGGAGCCAGGCATGACTAGATGACAGCCTAGAGGGGCCCTGGGCAGGACTTCCACATGGGGAACCCACCCACTACTTCCATGTATTTACTCTTGCTGTCCTGGGTCCCATTCATAGATTCATAGCCTCTTAGAGCTGAAAGGGCCTTAGAAATTATCTAGTCCAACCCTATCATTTTATATATGGGGAAACTGAGGCCAGAGCACAAGAACGGC